TTTTGAGCAGTATTGTCAAATTCAGTCCACATTGATGTAATATTTTGCTCCTCTGTGATTGATTCCGGCTCTGAATTGCTACTAGAATTCAAAGTCGAATTCGCAAATGGAAGCTGTTGTAGTAATGCCAGACAGGATCTGCAGCTGCGTGAGAAATTTCCTGTAGACTTCATATGGTGATACTCTTTAGGTAGCACGCCACCACATTTTATGTGAGTCCACGAAGAGCAGCCATCGCACCGAGTCGCTTGATGGTTTCGAGCAACAGCCCGGCCACAATCTGCACAAATTCATGTTGATTTAGGTCCAGGGTTAGAACTTATATCGCCTGACAGACGAAGGTGCTGGTAGTTGAAAGTTGCCGAGCAATTATTGTAATATGATATCCTCGACTTTGCATAACCGGCTCGAGTTTTCGTTGCGAAACATTTTCGATTCCAATCGCCATCAGAAATCCCAAACTGCGTAACTTGTGTAGCTATAATCCATCTGCTTGGTATCCTGTTCAAAATAGTGTGGTTATTAGGTTCTAAAGCAGGATTAAGAGTCAGTAAACAAAAATAGATCAGGAGCAAACTTTTAGCATGACTAGCCGCCATGACACATTTCCTGTGGTACACATACTGTTCAGTTTTACTTTGATGAACAAGCAAGGGTCCAAGGAAAACAGGATGCTTACCAGTTCTCACGTTGTAGATCTTAAGCGGTCTATATGTCATTGGAGTTACACTGAAGTCTCCCAGATTAAACGTAGCGTCCACGTCAAGAATGGGAAATGAGCCCAGTTGGGCACAGTACAACTCGATGTCTTTCAATTGCCGGTCAGTGGCAAGAAAGGCCATAGGTTCTGGAGCACCAACAACTTCTATAACGAAACCATCTTTGCTCTTGCACTTCTACATTGCCTCTGGCAAGATATCTCTTCTTTGGCTGGTGGAGGGCTTAAAGGAGATTGTAGACGAAGCTAATGCGTTACAAACTTGTTTCGCACTTCACGGCAGCTCACTTTTAGAACGACAGAATTCCAACCCCCCTTTTCGACGAACTGATTCGAAAAAGACCTCCCTGGGTTGCCATTTCCTT